TGGGAGGGCAGTGGATGGGGGGTGGGGGGTTGTTACTTTGTGAGGGTGAAAAGGGTAACTATTGCATTGTTCTGTACACCTGAAACTAACAATCAATAAAAATTAAAAAAAAAAAAATGTAGTATTTGGGATTTAGTCAGTTAAATAAAATACTGTATCAGAATAATTTCACCTGTTTCTTTTGATCTTTTTAATGTTACTAAAAATTTTTAAATTATACATGTGGCTCACGTTTCTACTGTTCTTGAGTATAACAAGTAAGATCTTACTATCAAATGGAGAAAAACATTGGTCACATATACAAATTACTAAGTATAGAAGGTAAAAAGAATAAAACAGTGATAATTTCCCACTGTTTATTGAAATAGCTGAAATGTACAACTGATTTGGGGGATAATAAAAGCTGTATACAGAAGCTGTTAACAGTTTTCACCCTATTCGTATATAGACATGAATGCTTTCAACTTTTCAAAAGTAAACCAATGCTCCTCAAACAGATAAACATAAAACTACCATATGACCCAGCAATTCTCCTCTCAGATATACACCCACAGGAACCTAAAGCAGGGACTTGAGTAGACAGTTGTATGTCAGTGTTCACTAGCATTATTCTCAATAGCCAAAATGTGGAACCAACCCAGTGTCCATCAACAGATGAATGGATAATCAAAATGTGGCACATACATATAACAGAATATTATTCAGCCATAAAAAGGAGTACAATTCTCATATAGGCTATAACATGGATAAACCCTGAAAACATTATACTAAGTGAAAGAAGCCACACACAAAAAGAAAAATACTGTATTATTCCACTTAAAGACAAAAAGTAGATGAGAGGTTACCTAGGGATAAGGGGAAGGGGTGATAGAGAGTAACTGTTTAACAGGTGTGGAGTTTCTGTTTGGGGTAATGAAAAAAGTGTTGAAAATAGATAGTAGTGAGGTTGCACAATATTGTGAATGTAATTAATGCCATTGAATTGAACACTTAAAAACAGTTAAAATAGCAAATTTTGTTATATATATTTTACTACAACTTTAAACAACTAATAATGTAATATACCACAATCCACTGAATTGTACACTTTAAATGGGTATGGTATGTGACTTATATATCAAAAAAGCTGTTAAAAACATCACCCCAAAGCTAGGTAACCCGAACATGATTCTGCCACTTGCTAGTTGTTTGGCCCTGAGGAAGTCCCTGTGTCCCATTCAGTGTCATAATTATGACAATAATTATGTCATAAGGTTGCTATAAGGATTAAATGACCTAAAATTTGGAAAATAGTGTATATTGTGTAACTGCTCAGTGAATAAATAAAATAGGCTCCAGAGCCATGTGGGAGGGTGAAAACAAATAAACCAAAAAGGTAAACCCAAATGTTCATGACACAGTGATTTCAAATTTTTATAAATCATGAATGAATCTTAAAATTGCTACAGTGATGTGCAGAAAGCTATCGCATATCTCACTACCCACCAACCTCATTTCAACTTGCTTTGTTGCTATCTACTCATTTGCCACATGCAGGGTAACCCTCCTGAAGGATTTATGGCTTTACTGTTTTTTGTAAATACACGGCCCAGCTCCCCAACTCTTGGTGTTAGTGATGGTAATAAAGAAATTTATAAGAGTTGTTACAATTTCAGGTAAGCACACAGATACATAGGACTATACTGGTGATAAAACATGACGGTGAATTTTGGAAACGATTTTAGTTATTGTAATAAAAGCTATATCAATTATTTTAGCTCTGAATTTATGTGTTCATTAAGGATCTAATTTTAGTTTAAGACACTACCTGGGTTTAGAATCTTGGTTCAAGCATTTACTAGCTCGGTGTCCTTGGGCTAATTATTTAACTCCTGTAGGTCTGTTATTTCATCTGTAAGGTGTGGATAAAAATGGCACCTACTTGAAATAATTGTCAGAATTTAATAAGCTACTATTTGGAAGGCACTAAGAACAATGCCTTTCATTCATTAAGAGCTCAGTATCAGCAATTATGATGAACTGAATTTTATAAAGAAAAACATATGCCATGTACAATAGTTTTTAATGGGAAGATTTTCAACAATCCCCATTTATATATTCCTTAGAACATCAAAGTGTAACTATGGTTTTTAACAATCAATGTCATTCATACATTCAAGCAGTAGACCACCAAATCTGACCTCTTTGAGAACGTATTTATCCTTTAAAATAAATAATATATATATTATTTTGGTTTTCAAGGATACAATAAAGTGAAATAGATTTAGCTAGTGACTGAATACCTCATAGAAGATATATGTATCTGACACTTGGATACCCTTTCCTGTACTATTGTAGTGATATAACCGGTCTAGTTAAAGAAATAATGACGCTTTCAGCATTTTCACTTAATGGTCCTTTAAAAATATAGTTTGCTGGATTAAAAAAAGCACATAGTGGGCCTCTTGAGATCCTTCTTTTGCTCGGCCTGCTCCAAACTCTTTGGAGTGTACTTCCTCTTCTAATAATGGCCCTTGAGCTTATTATTCTCTACTGCTCGGGCCGCTTCTATTTCTTTGAAATGCACTCTCTTCTGATTAAGCGTTCTTTCACAAAAAAAAAAAAAAAAGCACCCAGTGTACCTTGAGGCTCATAATTAATTATGTATTTCATGACAAACATACCTACTTTTATATAATTAAGCTTGAAAATTGGCCTGTATTTGGGTTTCTGGTAAGTTGCACTTAAAATCAGTGCAAATGTATTTTCTTTGATGACTAAAAACTTTCAGTTACTTACCAAATTTTCTCTTTCAATCCTTTGTTGTTCCCTCTGTCTGTTGAGAGCACTGTGATATAACTTAGGAGGATGACCAAGTGATCTAGGAATCGTACTTTGGCTTCCTGGTTTTTCAGCCTGTCTCGACAGTTCTTTCAAAAGCCTCTGATTTTCCCGATCAATCTGCCTCACCTCCTCTCTTGTGAAAGAGTAGTTTCTCCTCGGTGCCGCTGAAGGCTGATCTACGTGATGTTTCTGTGGTCCCTTTTTATCTAATTCCAGAAAAGCTACAGAAATGAACAAAAAAAGGAAAAATGGCTAAAGAAAGTAGCACAGCAACATGATGGTACATGCTTTAATTCTTAAAAATGGAAACTGATTAATACATGAAAAGGTATGTATGAAATAATGCTAATGATATCCAGACTACAATTATGTAGAAAGAAACCCAGGGGCAGCTTAGAGGTTTATGCTCATTGGATTCTTTGGGAATAAAAGCTGTCCACAATACAATGAAAATATTTTAGTAAGAAATATACATGGTACTGGTTCTAAGGCAGGTATAACTTATGGAAAATGTCTTTGTCATATTAATTTTATGTTTCCCTAAGGCAGCTTAATTGCTGGGGAGGTTAGAAACCTCTGGTTGAGTGTACCAATACAATACTAAATTTAGACAGTTTTTTTGTTAGTTGAAAGGAATACCTGAAAAAATAAAACTTCCTCAGCAATGACTGATGGAAACAATGGCTAGAAAATAGCAAAACCCCAGAATATTCTGAAACTTACAACTTAATCTGAAAATACTTTACTACAAAAGATTTATGGTCTTAATACTGGCATTAAAACAAATATTTCTGCTGTAAAAGTCAAACATTTTATTCCTGACTAAACATAAGCCAAAATGAATACATTAAGTAAAAGGACTTTTTAACCAAGAAAAATATTTTGTATACTATTATTAAATAAAAATGTTGTCAATATGCTTAATTCTTAAATTTCCATTATAAAAATTTTCAGTAAGTCGCAATTATTACTACACATTTGTTAGAAGTTTCTAAAATATTAAGCTTGCTGAATGTTTCGGCTTGTCTGTACTAAAAATGAATGTATTATATCAGATGAACATATTGGCACTTTGTTTTTTCAGTATTTTTAAAGTAAACATTATTTGTTTTTACTTGAGTACCTTTATGTTAAGCAAGTACCTTTTATTTGCTTAACAGTTTTTACTGTTAAAAGCACAGTGCTATAAGGGGAAAAAGTATTTTTAACCCCCATTTAAAAAATGTGAGTGGTGAAGAAAACTTAAAACATTTGAACAAAGTCATAAAAACTGTGAGTTTACCCACCTATGTTTAACTGAAGACAATCAAAGATTACAGAGATTTAAAAAATTTATTAACAGTGGCTTAATAGAAAAAAATGAAGAAATTAATGGCTGATGATTTGTTGAAAACCATACCAAGTTAATTATAAAACCTGAATGAGAACACATTTAGAAAGATACAGATGTGCTTTACATAATTATCTTGATTCTAAGAAACGCACATTTTATAGAATTTAAGAAGGTTTCTAGATTAATTTAGCCTTGTATGAAAGCCTTTAAAATGAAATTCTAAAGGGAGTTAAAAGTAAGCTATTTTCCTAATGGCATTTAAAAAAATTTTTTAAAGTAAAATAAGGCCCCCCCAAAAAAAAGTAAAATAAGGCAAAAATAAATAAATTAAAGAAGTTCAATCTAATTCATTTTTAAACATAGCATTCTAACTCTGATGGAAAAGTATATATGGGATGTTTATATACTAATACCAGATATTACTATTACATTCTTCTTAAGTGGCTATATGCTTTAGTATGAGGCAACATCAAATATATGATCCATTTTTTTCCAATTAAGATCTAAACTTTTTTTTTAACTTTCAGGGATATAAACATTTATATATATATATGTACATATTTAAACTCATATTTAAGAAATATTGCTTTTCCTTAATTTTCTTCAATGAAACAATTTTGTTCCAATTCTTTATAGTGTCCACATCACTAGAGCTTCTTGAGTCATCTAACACCGATTGCTAGTAGTATCTGAGCTTTACTTTCACCTGGGCTAAGATACAGACAGCATCTTAACATTTTATGTGTAATGCTACCACTGAAAATTTTATCCCAAACCATATTAAGACCTTATTCATAAAATATTAGTCCTTTTAAAAAACAATCCATCCTGTAGGCATATTCATGGTTCACTCCCGTCACTCCCCCAAAAAACCAATGGTATTTGCTTTTTGAAGATATTTAAAGGGTTTTTAAAAAAAAAAATCCAACACTTATAAACTGAAAGATCACAATTCAAGGAATAATTATTTACTAAATTGCTTTGTCTTCTTTATGAACAACTTGTCAGATGAGAAATTCTGTGACATTCTTCCAGTTCTCTTCCTTTGAATCTGGGCAGGTTTGTGACTGCGTGGACCAATATGACATAAGCCAAAGTGTGTCTTTCAAGGCTAGGCAAAAAAGGAGATGCAGCCCCCACTTCTCCACCTCGCTCTCCAGAATACTTGCCCCTGGGGCCCTGAGCCACCCTGGGTGTCTGACTGCCTTGACTGGCAGGCTGTGAGCAAATCAAACCACATAAAGGGGCCATGAGCAGGCTCTATGACCCTAGTCTGTCATCCTAGGCTGCTGCTTTTACACATCTAAGTTTTGTGACTTGTTATCAGAGCAGCAGTAACTAATACATGGCATTAACTCTAGACCAGGTGACAAGTAGAGCTGGAAGAGCCTAGAGGAGAGTGCTGGTAAAGAGGATGATATGGCAGAATTTTAGGAACGCTATTAGCTGTGGTGACTAGGTGCCTATTGCCACTGGTGGATTTGGCTAAGCAGATCTCTGCGCAGAAGGTTGAAAGTATCAGTGGTTTATTTTATCCACAATAATAAGACAGGATAGAGAGATGGACTAAAAAAAAGAAGCGGTCAGTTTTCAAGCAAAATTTAGAGAGAATATAAAAGAGCCAGGACTTATGGGGTTCAGAAATGTAACTACTTCTCCTTCCTAGGCTCTCTCAGCAGAAGAGTCTCAAAGTACTCAAGAAGCTACACTAAGTGAGGAACACATCTGAGGAGCTTCAACTGCACTGGGACCTGTTTTAGACCTTGGATCTCGAGGTTGGGGAATCTTTGGAAAGGGGAAATGCATTTTTGCGTTTGGGAAGAATATAAATTATTATGTGGACAGAGGATGGTCTGAAGGTTTCAAAACATGTACATAAGTTATCTGACAGAGTTATCTGACAGAGGAGCTCCAATGAAAAGGGAGGGTCTATGACACTCCTCTTAAATCTGGGAAGGTTTATAACTGTTTAAATCAATAAATATGGAAGAAATGAAGCTATGTGAAGAAATGAAGCTATGTGGCTTGTAAGGCTAGGTCACAAAAGCTGATGTGGTTTCTACCTTGTTTCCTGGAACACTGTGCTTGGAGCCCTGAGCCACCAAGTATGAAGTCCAACTTCCCTGAAGAAGCCAGGCCACATGAGAGGTCACATGTGGACCCTCTGCTCAGCAGTCCTGGTTTTCAAGTCATCCCTAACCTGACACCTGACGTGTGAGTTAAACCATCTCTGAGATGATTCCAGTCTTCTGCCCTTTGAGTCTCTCCAAATCCTAAGCATTAGGGTAACTTGTTATGTTGAAATAGCAACCGGTATTTCATCACTTTAAAAAATGTGTGATAGATAAAATACCTGTGGACCAAGTGCAGTCCATAAACAGGCAGTTAATTTTTTGGGGGGAGAAGGGGTCTAATTGTTCTATCAATCTTCTATAGTGATTATGGCTTTGTCAATTTCATTAATCTAGTTCTGTTTTACTTTTATCATACATTTCAAATCAATGGCTGTTAAATATTTTTGGTGTACTTGGTCAGTTTATTAATGTAAAACACTCTTGTTTGTCTCAGTTAGTGCTTTTCACATCTTGAATTCTGTTTTGTTTACTGAGGATTAATACTTCTGTTTTCTCCTTGTTAATACCTATCTGACATATTTTTCAAGCCTTCATTTTTTTTTTTTTTTAAAGATTTTTATTGGGAAATCGGGGGAAGGGGAACAGACAAGTTGCTGTCCTTTTGTTCTTCAGTCTAGTTGTGGAGGACGTTGCTTCACTGGCCCAAGTTGGCACCATCATTGCGCTCTTCCCTGGCGAGGCAGATCAGTCACCGGCTTCTGGACAGCCGCTCACACTGGCTGCTGGCTACACACGGTAGCCCAGCTCCAGGTTGAGCTGTTGTTTAGCATTTTATCTGTAGAGGGCAGTGTCACTGGCCCTCATATGTGAGATCCAAACCAGGGCCCTCTGGTGTCCCAAGCCAGCTCTTAACCATCACGTCACTCGGCCGGCCCTCAAGCCTTCATTTTTATTCTTCCTAGATTATTTAAAATATGCTTTTAGGTTGGATTTGATTTAAAGTTTGTAACCCCCTCTGATAATATCTCCTGATAAGTTAAAAACCATCCACTTAACATTGTTTGATCTCTTTTCCTACAATCTTACTTAAAAAAACAACAACACCAAAACTAACTTTTATTTCTTTTCCCATTTTTCCCACTTTTGGAAGATTATGATAATTTTTTTATTTCTGTAATAGACTACAAATCATATATTCTAATTTGATTCTTTTAGAATAGAAGTTCTTAAACTTTTTGGTCTTAGAACCCTTTTACACATCTAAAGATTATTGAGGACCCTAAAGAATGCTTATGTGGGGTACACCAATATTTACCATGTTAGAAATAAAAGGGAAAAAAGTTAAAGGTATTTCTTAATTCATCTGAAAATAACAAACCAATATGTTAACATCACATTTTAAAAAAAACAGGGCCGGTCGAGTGGCACGTTGGTTAAGAGTTGGCTTGGGACCCCAGAGGGCCCAGGTTCGGATCCCACATATGAGGGCCAGTGACATTGCCCTGTAAAGCTAAGATGCTGAACAACTGCTCAACCTAGAGTTGGGCTGCCATGAGTCACCAGCAACGGCGTAGGCTGCAGCCCCTGTGGCAGTGGGTTGCCATGGGCTACCGTGTGTAGCCAGCAGCCACCGTGAGTGGCCGTCCAGAAGCCGGCGACTGAATCTGCCTCCCCAGGGAAGAGCGCCATGATGGTGCCAACTTGAGCCAGTGAAGCAACGTCCTCCACAACTAGACTGATGAACAAAAGGACAGCAACTTGTCTGTTCCCCTTCCCCAATTCCCCAACGCTGTTCCCCTTTCCCCAATTCCCC